GGACGGTTTTTTATTGTGTTCTGTCAATCTGGTTTCGAAGTTTCTTCCTGTTTGTCCGACGTAGAATTCTGGGCAGTTATTGCATGTTATTTTGTAAATGACGTTGGTATAGTGTGATTCTAAATAATTTTTGTTTAGTAACGATTTTAATTTAGGGCCGGGTTTTTGTGAGAATTTGATGTTGACAGGAATTTTGTGTTTAATGGCTAGTTTAGTCCAAGTGTGGATTATTCTTGAGTTGGTTTCAGGGACAACAGGTAAACTGCAGTGTAATGTGCTGTTGTTGGTATCAATTTTGTTAGTGAGTTGAGTTTTGTTGTGGTGAATGTTGGAGAGTTTTTCAACAATAGCTGGTGGAAATTTGTTGGTGTGAATAAAGGAATGCTTTATGTGGTTGATTTCTTCATTTATGTAGTCCGTTGAACAGAGTCTTGTGGCTGTGTTTATGAGGTTATTCAGTGTATTGATTTTTTCATGTGGCGTCATGAGCGAAATTCCAGGGGATCTAGAGGCCGGTGTGTGTGTTCTTATGGCAAATTTTGGTTTTAATCTGTGTGTCCAATCTAATAATGTTGAGGTTAAGAAAGGATAACTGTTTATTGTTTTCGTTTTCTATGGTAAATTTGATGTTGGGATGAATGGAGTTTATGTGTTCAAAGAAAGTTAGTGTGTGTCCTGTAGAAGTGAAACAAGCAAAAATGTGAATGACGTATCTGTACCAGTATAGTGGGGGATTCAAGCCATCTCCAAGCATTATCAGTCTCAAAGTGGGTTCCTCGTCATTGAATTTGAAGAAATATTGTATGCAAAACAATGTAGAAGAAACATGTTTCTTTCTGCAGGCAACTAGTTTGAGTAACTTACTTTATGAGGTGCATCAGCCTGTTTTTATCTACAAATGCAACAGTGAAAGATTGAAACTTTCAAGTTCCATCAGGGATGTAAGAGTAAGATATTGAAACTTAAGTTTCTTTAATGAGACAAGAGTAGTACAATGAACTTAAGTTTCAATTGTGCATTGTAGTTGTGAGTGGGTTGTTTGATGGTGAGTTAACAGTTTTTACTTGGCTTGATCGACAAACATTTCATATTCACTTGGCAGGTTGTGTAGGGAATGTGGTTCACCTATTGCACTGTCTCCGGAGATTGTTCGATGGGACTCCCAACATGAGTATCCCCCCCCTCATTTTTCCTAGTGGAGCATGGGAGTCCTTACCACTCACTGAAGTGGTGTACAGAGGTCTATTCCTCCTGAGTGATGCTTGAACTCATTATTCCACCCAAGGAGAGGAGGGCAAATCTGGGTGCCTTTCTATCAATAACCCTGGATGGTTTTCCCAGATGGATGGTAGGAGTAGGACCAGCCCACACAGGAGCCTCCTCATAATTCCGGGTTCAGAGATGACTCTTCACTATCCGGTTGAGTTGATTGTAGCCCTTCTTTTTAGTCATTCTCTTCATTTTGATGATTATGAAAGAGGATCCTTGATTCCTCATAATTCTGCATGTGGAGCACCAATTCCTGTGATGTTGGTTGGACTTAGTTTGTTCCACATCTTCCTTGTAATTCCGGGGGCAGGCCTTGACTCTCAGGTTGGGGAGTTAGGGTTTTGGTTTGTAATCCCAGGCTATCAGTCCTATTTGACTATATGCCTATTAAGTCCCATGATGTAACTCCAGTGGATTATTGTTATTTGTTTGTTTAAACATGGTCTTATGAAAAAGTAGGCCAAAGAAATGCTGTCAATCCTATTTGACTATATGCCTATTAAGTCCCATGATGTAGCTCCAATGGATTATTGTTACTTGTTTGTTTAAACATGGTCTTATGAAAAGTAGGCCAAAGAAATGCTATCAGTCCTATTTGACTATATGCCTATTAAGTCCCATGATGTAACTCCAATGGATTATTGTTACTTGTTTGTTTAAACATGGTCTTATGAAAAAGTAAGCCAAAGAAATGCTATCAGTCCTATTTATATTTGACTATATGCATATTAAGTCCCATTATGTAGCTCCAATGGATTATTGTTACTTGTTTGTTTAAACATGGTCTTATGAAAAAGTAAGCCAAAGAAATGCTATCAGTCCTATTTATATTTGACTATATGCATATTAAGTCCCATTATGTAGCTCCAATGGATTATTGTTACTTGTTTGTTTAAACATGGTCTTATGAAAAAGTAGGCCAAAGAAATGCTATCAGTCCTATTTATATTTGACTATATGCCTATTAAGTCCATGATGTAGTTCCAATGGATTATTGTTACTTGTTTGTTTAAACATGGTCTTTGTAGCCCTAAGGGCAGCATGACACTCACAGTCTTCATTTAAAAAGTTTATTCCTACAATTAATTTAACAAAATTCTATGCTAGTGATTTTGTTTTGTCAGAAAGATATCAGTTTACATGTATTTCATCATATACATTAAAAAACAAATAATTGCAAATCTTTTCAATTTTTACAAAATAAATTTTTAAATTGATAAAGTGTCTATTTTTGGTATACAAGTAAATATTTTGAGATGCTCCTGCGAAGTTGAATCCTGAAAAAAAAAAGTACAAAATATTTTCATTCATAAGACAACACATCAACAACTAATAATTTTTAATACTGTTAGAGAACATCAGAATATTTCGTTTATATAATATAAAATGTGTTTTGGTGGTGCTGTCTTTTGTGTATTCAACCTGGAAGGCAAAATTGCCCAGTCAAAGGCCTTTAAGGTTAAGGCATAGCCATTCCTAATTTAGAAATGATGACCATAGGGATGGCAGCACTCGTTGTATACCTTGCTACTCTTAACCAAATAGCATAGGTCACTGTTAAAGTTATAATGACCTCAGACTGTGTTCAAACTTCAAACCTTCTGATTCACAACCGTTCATTTATTTACCAGGCCCTACATTCGTTAAATGCTGAAGTGCCTCATTCTTTTGAATTGTTTTATAAAATAGCACAAGTTTTCTCAAAATTAATGACCAAACTTATTTAATGGTAACATGCAAATTTTCATCTATACCCTATGGTATTAATTGATTTAATGTGTCAGAAATCACAGCTTAATCAAAAGTGAAAAGACTGTGGTAATAAAAAAAAAGTTTAACAGAAGTTTTGAAATTGCACAGATGTCATCTTCCTTCCTGTTTCTTCCAGATTGATGAAAATAGAACCTATTTAATATATTTTTTGTTATTATATTTTAAACATATTTGTAATCTTGTGTCACTTGTTTTTTTTGTCAGAGAGAGGTTATTTACTTCGAGTAATATTACGTAAAGTTCTCGATTTAAAAGTTAAAATGCACCTTGAGATTAGTGGAATCAAAAGTACAGTTAAAGGAACAAACAAACATGAAAAACCAATCACAATATTAATTTTTGTCCAAAGATGCTAGAGGGATATCTGGATTAACCATCCCTAACTTTGAAGTGATAAACTACAGAGAAGAGAGCTAGACAACAACATCCACTGCCAACTCTCGTGTTACTCTTTACCAGCAAATAGAGGGATTAACCTCACATTATAACACCCCACGGATGTAAGGGGTGAACATGTTCAGTGACGGTATTCAAACCTGCAGGTTGTCATAACCACCAGGTCACGCATCAAAATGTTGACTCTTTGAACATAAAAGAAATGGCAAATGATATTGTAAAACACAGCAAATCTTATAGCTCTCTCTCTCAGTTGATAAAACCTGAACTTGTTTTTATCGTTCAATCTCAATTATGCAAACTTTTTAAAAGTAGCCTATACATTACTCGTATGCCAAGAGTATTGTGCATGTGTGATACCAATATCAGCATCAACATATCACTGACTATGACAGAGTGAAAATGGATAAGAATAGAAATAGTGACCACACTCGTGATATTAAAGGTATATTTTCTAACAAGTAAGGAGAAATCAGAAGAATCAAACATTGTTCAAGATGTTGATCTCTAAATATGGAAGCTGACAAACTTGGAGGACGAGTCCCTTTATCAACTCCAGCACAACTCTTCTGGAAAGATGTTGATCTCTAAATGAGGAAGCTGACAAACTTGGAGGACGAGTCCCTTTATCAACTCCAGCACAACTCTACTGGCAGGATGTTGATCTCTAAATGTGGAAGCTTACAAACTTGGAGGACGAGTCCCTTTATCAACTCCAGCACAACTCTACTGGCAGGATGTTGATCTCTAAATGAGGAAGCTGACAAACTTGGAGGACGAGTCCCTTTATCAACTCCAGCACAATTCTACTGGCAGGATGTTGATCTCTAAATGTGGAAGCTGACAAACTTGGAGGACGAGTCCCTTTATCAACTCCAGCACAATTCTACTGGGGAGGAAGCTGATCTCTTCTGCACTACTAGATGAAAGCAGCAACACAGGAGGTCTTAATTAACATTTAGAAGGAATGCAACTGCTGGAAAACAAAATACTATAGGATATAGCTAGGAAAAGTAAAGTAATGGGGGAGTCAGTAGGGCAGTTTACAGCCAGAAGGCCACTGGTAACATCAGTAGAGGAACTTTCTTCTGCTCCTGCCAGACAGCCAGTGGGTCAACACTTGTCGATGCAACCCCTGGGATGGTTGGCTAGTATTCAACTCAATTCAGTGAGAACTAATAAATAACCAGTGTATTAATTGCAGGAACTGTACTATGCACTAATATAATGTTCTTGTCGGGTTTGTGGTTCTGCTTTAGACTAACATCGTGGTGCACTGCCAGTATTCAGTCAAGGGTAAAAGGTCATCTGGCCGTGTGATGTGAATGAATGATCATCACCAAGCAAGCTCGGATCTCTACCACAATGACGTATTTCTCAAAATAATTAGTATAACTACAAGAACAAGAAAGAAGTCATAGTTTTATTATAGAAGAACTCTAATGAGATTTTACATTTCTGACAGATTCATCCCGTTTGATCACAATAATAACGTTACTGGAACTAACGAGAAATTATTCGTACTGAATCAAATAAACCAGCTTGGAGAACAAATGAAGCTTACAAAATGTTAGACTTACCTCAAAGTTAGCACATTAAGTATCTTGAAGACATTTCTGAAATTATAAAAACAACATTATAAATGATTTTATTAATGTGCTTTTTACATTACAATAAGTAAAGAAATAGTAGTATAAGTTAAATACTGTGAAAAAAATACTGCTTAAGGGTGTTAATATCACTACATTCTCAAAACATTAACTAAAGAAAAATATTAAAGCAACAATACTTTTCAAGTGTTGCTTGCACATAGTTTATTTTTTTTAACGAAATTTTCACTTCACTTTTACCATGCTGGACAAGTTAAGATGGGTGTGGGGGGAAAGTCTACAGTTAAACCTGATTTTTATCAATTCAACATGCTGCAAGTTAACACATTCCACATGCTGGACAAGTTAAGAT